AGCTGGGAGGATACGGTGATTGGTGTAGAATTTTTTTTAGTGGCAGGAAGTGTCTCAAAGAAAAAAGTGAGTTATGGTTTACTAATGATTATTCCTTCTATCTTATTTATTTGACGACGAATGAGGGAACTGTTTTTTGTAAGGTATGTAGCAGGGTTGTCTATATACTAATAAAGGATTTTTTGTCCTGAACAGGACACTCATTTATTCTTTTTACAAACCAACCTAACTCCCCCGAGAAGGTGGGGCCACCTGCAACCCCACAGGTGAGCGTACCCTTCCTGGGGGCAATTGCCGTAGCCCGTCCCAAGCCGGGTTGAGAAAAGTAGAGGAGCCTAACCGTAGCTAACCTGTTTCCCCCCTTACCGGCCACCCTACGCCACGGGCGGAAGAGATGTCGGAAGGCAATTGCTCCACCCCCTGGGCTGAGGAACCCCAACTCGGCGGTGGTTTCGGTCCCAAAAAAAAAGGTTAGATACGGTTAAGCCCCTCTACTTTTCACAACCCGGCTTGGGACGGGCTACGGCAGTTGCCCCTAAGAATGGTACGCTCACCCGTGGGAGTCCAGGTGGCCCCACCTTCCAGGGGGAGTTAGGTTTGGTTATAGTCCTTATTATGAAAACGTAAAACTAGGTTAGTTAAATAAGTTAAGTACTACACATAAATAATGAAACTACAAAAAAGGTTATCTTACTAGAATTGTTACCATTATTTAACAAAATTTCTATTACATTCATTTCAATTTTAATCACATAATTGTTCCTCCCGCATGCTTCATCCAGTCTTCAAAGATAATATCTATTCTTCCACTACAAGTGTGCGTTCAATCAAAGATTAAATAATTACTATTTCTTTTTTATTAGTATTCCTTTCTAACTGGTATCCCTAGAAAGAGAAAGAAACCGTATACGATCCATCCTTATGTATTCCATTTATAAGTTATCATTCAGTTCGCTTAAGGGGGTATCCCAGTGTGACTGGTCAAAAAAATCGATTTATTTTTTATCATCTTAAAAAAATCTCCCTTCTTTCCTGCGTATAATGCCGAAACCCGGGTTTAAAAATTCGGAAAACTCCCGTCGCTAGACCTGTTTCCGTATCGCACATAGCACTACCCCGCGTATGATGATGATGATGATGATTAATGTTATGGGCATCGACTGCCATGGTCATTAGCCCAACCCCGCGTATGCACGTATAACTTTAACATCGTTTTTCTCGGAACGACATTTTTCAGGCTGGTCACCATGATTTCTCAAAAATGACTTGACCAATAGGGTTCAGCTTATACATACATGTTTAGCAGATGCGTGGGTATCGTCCCTACCACAGGCATACGGAAATATTAGTTTGTTTAAACTTTACAGCATAGAAAGTCACGAAAAATTGTGCCAAATAACACATTCAATATTAAAATTTGCACCACTTTGAAAGCTGTTAATATCTATTCAAACCTGAGGTAGGGGCGATAGCCATATTCATATATTTTAACAATCTTTTCGATTTTGTAACTGCGGACCAACTGGAGGGCAGTAAACATGGTGACCAGTTGGGTAGCTTTTCTCGAGAGGCTAACATTGTAGAGATCTCAGCCGTCTAACTGTACATAACTTCACTTCGAAAAAATTATTTTTTATATACCTAAACATAGACAAATAAACGAGCAAAGTTTCAGGACTGAAATGTGTTAATCAGTTATTGAAAAAAATTCTTAACTAACCGCTAAGAATAGTCGCGTCACACTGGGATACCCCCTTAAGGATAGTTCCTCTCTGATTATGCAGGCCGTTGAATTACATGATTTTAATGATGCGCAGAGGAAGTTCCAATCTTCTAATGAGAAGAAAAGTCACGGGCTGGATGAGAAAGAGGACAAAAAAGAAAACGAAGACTTTCAACTCGTCGTAAGAAAGAGGAAAAGAGGAGATGTAATCTGCACAAAATCTACTGATAGTAACAGCTCACCTAGTGAGATGAATAAGCAACCACAAAAGAGAAGGCCCTCCATGTTGAACAGGGGGGAGCAAGAACCCTTGAACCTTGGGGACACTACGAATAGAGTTGGCGAGACCCTGAACCTGAAACAAATAGAACAACAGAACAGACAGGACAGCAATTTCGATAACCTCCAAGGAGGCTTTATAAAAGTTAAATGTAAGGAGGGACTGGACTTCCAGCAAACCCTCAGGGAAATAAAAGGGAAGATTATTATAGGAAACGTGAGAGTAAATTGGATTAGGCAGACTAGATGGGGTAAAGAAGTTCTTTTTTACTTAGAGAAATCAGATGAATTACATAGTTTAGGGGATAGAATCAGGGGAGCAGGGAATGATATGGATGTAATTGTTGGAAAAAGGAAAAAGGTCATGTTCACAGGAATCGACTTAGATGTTCAGGAGGATGAATTTAAAGAGATTTTACATACGGAACATAAATTTATGGATTGTAGAGTTATATTTTATAAGAGATCAATTAAAGGAAACAACAGTGCATGTGTGGATTTCCCTATTGACACGGCAAACGAAGTGATTAAGAGAGAGAGGCTAAGGATAGGGTGGACCTCGTGCAGGACTGCGGAATATGTAGATAACAGAAAGTGTTTCAAGTGTGGCTCTAAGACGCATCTAGCTTGGTCATGCAAACTTGAGAAAGGCGTTTGCTACAGTTGTGGCGGAGGTGATCACACTAGTAGAGAATGCACTTTTCTGAGACACAAAACAGGAGGCACTACCGGTACAAATACTCCAAAAAATCACGAAATTAGCCCAATAACTATGGAAATTGAACGTTTAAAAAAGCTCTTACAAGAAAAGTATAATGAAGTTACTGGGAAACAGGATATAAGAGGAACTACTCAAAACAAAGAGACTAATACCTGGGGACAACCAGAAGGAATTTCAGAGGAGGAAAGGAAGGTAGTCAATATTACATATAGGACTGGAAAGAAGGAAGTTAGATCCATTGGGACACAAACTGAGAATGAATTGACAGTTGTGAAGGAGAAATGGAGTGATATCCTCAAGAGAGGAACTAACAACCTAGATATTCGTACGGAAAAGGATCGACCTCGGACAGGGCTTGGAGATCTTCGTCCCATACCCAACTGGCAGGTAAAAAAGACGGGGATTAAGAATAGTAGGAATATCTTAGAGGTAAGAAGTACTCCACGTAAGAACGAAGAAAAAGAGATAACCACAAGGATAAAAAAACACAAAGGCAAAGCCATTTATATTAAATACAAAAAAAATAATTTTTAGAAAAAAAATACACCGACTTCGAAATGCACTAAAAAGTATAAAATAATTTCTATTTTCTAATGAAGTAATTTCTATTTCATTCAATCATACAATTACGTAACAGATATGAATGAAACCTATTTACTCGTTAGGTATTATATTAAATACATTTCAACCTTTTCGGAGGCGG